TTATTATATTATTTTTTTGGGACCAATGTCGGTCCGCTTATTTCAATTTCTCAATAATTATTTATATTTCTTACTGAAATATCCGGACCGATTTCGGTCCGGATAGTATATATATACGAACCGATTATACGTCGGTCTGTATATTAGACTTATTCGTACCAGGTTTTTTCAGATCAACTATAAGGACCAATATCGGTCCGTATATATATATTCAGACCGATTTACTATATATCCGGACCGATATTTCGGTTCGAAAATCTCATTCCTGCAGTAGTGAAATAAATCATCAAACACAGATACTCAAATACTCATAAATACTCACAACTCAAGCTCAAACAAGCTGCAAGTAGCCGATTGAAGAATAGAAACAGAACTATGGGCACTACCTTTCAAAAGTTGCTGAGAATGATAGGTTGAAGGGAATTAACCGATTGAAAAACAAAAACAAAGCTAGTGAGCTACAACGTAAAGGAGAGGAGATTGGAGTCTGGAAAGGAGGAATCGCACAGCAGATTCGTAAATCTCAAAAATTTGAAATATTCCTTCTAGTTATAGGGTTACTAGCAAATTGGGTTGGGTTTAGGGATGTCAATGGGGCCCCGTGGGGCCAGGGAGTCCCTCCCCGTCCCCATCCCTGCGAATGGCGGGGATGGGGATCCCCATTCCCCACCAATTAATATTAAATTATAAGTTTTTTTGTTTTTCACATATAATTAATTAATATTCAATTATAATAAATAAAACTCTAAAAATTCAAATACAATTAACTAAAATTTTTAACTATAAAATCAAATATAAATTGTCCAAATATAAATAAAAATCAATTCAACATAAGTAACTAAACTAATAATTAACAAATTTGTTCCAAACATAAACAAAGATTAAGCCAAGCTAAACTAAAACATAAACAAAAATTAAACCAACAATGGAGGGAAAGGTGAAAATGAAAATTGAGAAATGAATTAAGGTTAAAGTTAAATGTAAGTAGGGGAATGAATTGAGTTAATTTTTATGGATTGGGTTGGGTTGGGTTAGGTAAGATTAGGTTAAATTTAATTTTGATTGAATTGAGTTTGAACTTGAGTTTGGGTTTGAATTTGGATTAGAGTTTGAAAGATGAATTAAATTTAAAATAAAATTAATTTATATTTATTTTAATTTTTGCGAGGATGGGGATCACGCGGAGTCCCACGAGGCGAGGAAAATTTCCCACGAAATTTCGCGGGGGGGAAATGCTCCCCATCCCCGCCCTGTGGGGAGGAAAATTCCTCCCCACCCCATCCTTGTGACGGGGATCCCCGCGGAGCCCGCGGGGATCGGGGGAAATTGCCATCTCTAGTTGGGTTTGGGCAATTAAGTTTAAGAAAATACTGCAAATTGGGTTTGGCTTGAGCAATTAAGTTTAAGAAGATTATGGGCTAGATTGAACTATATAATTGGGTTTGGAAAAACTGAAAAAAGAATGCATTGGTCAATTAATTAGGTTGAGTAAGTAAAAATTAATTATTAATATATTTTAAAATATATATAAAAATAAATTTATTTATTTATTTATTTTATATGGAACCCCAAAGTTCCCTATGGAGCGGAAGAAATTCCCTACGAAATTTCATAGGGAAAAAAATGCATCAATCCCTACTCCACGAGGAGGAATATTCTCAAAATCTTTATCCCCATGGTGGAAAAATCCGTGAAGTTTTGCAGGTTGCAGAGGAAATTGTCATCCCTAGTTTCCTCTCGATATTTTTGCTTTGCGTTCTTCAAGGAAGGCAAAGGCAACATAGTTTTTATTTTATTTTATTTTATTGCCGAGTTATGTTTTTAAGTCGAAGTCAACACTTTGTTAACGGAGTAACAAAAACACAGGCGGAAAGTTGATGTGTTCTGACGTCTTCCTTTACAAAAGGACTGACATGCGGATTCTGAATAGTAGAGGGGCTGACCTGCCACAACAAGTTAAGTAGAGAGGCTGAATTGTACCTTCTCTCCCTCCAAAATTCCAAAGCGCGCCTTGGCTTCCAAGGTTAAAAAATATAATTCATATTTTCCGCCAATTCCATCAAAATCATCTGCACCCTTCTCTCAATTATATATTTTCTCTTCCATTCTCTCACTTTCTCTTCAACAGCTCTCCCATCCCCAAAGGCAAATTTATCTGCACCGGTTCTGCACTCTGATAACCAGAATGGATCTCTCCGATATTGCGAAGAAGCTCGGTCTCTCCGAACACAAGCGCCTGATCCGGAAAGCCGCAGAGCTCCGTCGTCTCTGCGATGTCCAGTTCGACTCCTCTGTCATCGGAGTAGTAAGCATTTTGACCTTCAATTTATTCATCCCAACAAGCGAAATGAAAAAGCGAAAATCATTACATGGAAGTGCTAATGGAGTTTTTGTTTGTAGGGGGAGATCTGTAAAGCTGTAATCTGCTTAGAAATTGCCGCCACAAGGTAGTTTTGGTTGCTTCCGTTTCTTTTCTCTCAATTTCAATGTTTTGGGTTAGGGTTTTTGCAACGGAGGAAGTCTTATGTTATGGAAATTATAGGTTTGGGGAGGTGTTATTTGACAAATCGAGGGCTATTAAGTTAAGCGGGATGTCGGAGAAGGCTTACATTAGATCCTTCAATTCCTTGCAGAACGGTCTCAATATCAAGTGGGTTTTTCTTCTCCTAACTTTTTTCATTTGAAATTGGTTTTTCTTGTTGTGGGGTTTTGATTGAATTGGAGAAAATGTAATGTTGTAGGACAACGGTGGATGTAAGACAATTGGGGATTCAGTTTGGATGTGTTAGGCTCGTCCCCTTTGTCATAAAGGGATTATCTCTGTAAGACCCATTTCCTTTTAATGTTTCTGTTTTTATAATGACCACATTGTTTAAATCTGTTTTCGTTACTAGTTTGAAAGAGATGCCATGTGTTTGTGAAAATGCCTGAAAGATTAAAGTCCAAAAGACAGGGCCGTTCCATTTTTTTTTTTTTTTTTGATAACCTGTGTCAATTCCCTGTCATGGATTTTCAATTGGTGTTTTTTACGAGGGGAGGTGTAGATAACCCAATTTCTGGCATGTTTTTATAGAAGAAAGTATCTTGTTTGACCATTTTATGTCATGTTAGTTCTATTTGTTTTCATCATTAATAAGTCAAAATGTTGCAAGTGCCAAGAAAGGGTCATTCTAAGTGACTTAGTGATGTTGATTGTCAGCTACAAGGAGCGATTTCTTGCTTCATTGCCAGCTTCCAGGCAGGGGACTGCAGACTTCACAAGGCCTGTGTTTACAGCTGTGGCATTTTACCTGTGTGCAAGGAAACACAAGGTTATTGAGATGTAATCATTTTATTGAATGGTTCTTCCTTATATGTGATCCAAATTGACTTGAATCTTCTTCATTGACAGCTCAAGATAGACAAGACTAAGTTGATTGAGGTTTCTGGATCATCTGAATCTGAGTTTTCTTCTGTAAGTAACATGGCTATGGTCCTTTCATTTTGTTAATGTTAAATTCTTATTCAATTTGAAATTTTATTCTAGGTCTCCAACTCAATGAATGACCTATGTTATGATCTTTTTGGGATCTCGAAGGAAAAGAAGGATCCACGGGAAGTGAAAGGCAATAGAGGTAGCACAGCTTACCTTCATTAATTCTTGAACTGGAAATCTTTAGCTTTGTCACCCTTCTGACACTATTAATACTAATGCAATATCATCTGGATATCAAGAGTTCTTTGAAATATCTTCAAGTCTTTTTATATATTGTTCCTTCCTCCTAAGTTTTACCATTTGATGTAAATGCAGAACTGCTTGATGTATTACCTGAGAAAAGAAAATTTGATGATGGTGGCTATTTATCTGATGATGGATCAGAGGTAACACCACTGCATCTTCAATTATTGTTTATTCCTTATGAGTAAAAATTGAATATCTTTTTAGATTAGAGGATTAGATATGCCAAAGTTTGCCATCCCTTGGTACGCCTAACTTTGACGTCCCCACCCACACTCTTCTTTTACAACAGTCTTTTTTTTCTTTTATTTATTCTTAGAAATAGTTGTACAATGTGATGGCCATTTGCATCCTTTAAAGGAGTAAAAGTTCCATTGTGTCCAAACTTTGTTAGGATTTTATATTCATATGCCTCATTTTATGTCAGACAGTTCTCTACTGCCTTCCTTCTGATGTGATTGGAGCTTACTAAGTCTCTTCTAATTAACTAGATTACAGTTGCATTTTGATTAGGTCTGCAATCAAACTGAATCAGAATGTCTAGGATGGTGCCCTACTCTTTTCTATTGTGTCTGGTAATCAAACTTAAGGCCAGTACCTCAACCAACTAAAAGTTACTTGAATACTCCCATAAACAGCTGTCAAATTACAACATTATTATGCTTGCAAAATCTCTCTTTCTTAAGCCAAGAATATTTGCTTCTGTTTCTTATAAATGTAACTCATGAAACCTCACTAATATTGAGACTCCTACAGCATTCACATCACAAGCGGCACAAAAAAATGGAGAAAGTTGCTTATGAGGAGTGGAAATCGTCTGTTATTTCATCAAATAAGAAAACCAAAAAAGGTAGAGTTTCCTCATATCCTTTTTACACTAAAATGAATAAAGCCAGCATGTAATGTACCTAATCTTTCATGAATTTGCATTCTGCAATCTTTTTCAGCACCTTGCAATCGGACAACTCAAACCCGCCTCAGCTTTCAGAAGGAACATCCAGAGACCAATGACAATGAGTTGGGAGCTTTATAGAGAGGCCATGTCTTCCTTTAGGTGTTTTAAGTTATTTGTATTATCCTTTTTGGAATTTCATATTGGGGAAAGGGAACGGAGATGAATCATACAGTTGACAATGTTTGTAGTGCAAAATTTTCCTGGAAGTCCGATGTAAAGAAATTGTTCGAAGAATTATTTCAAAATCATTAGTCCCTTTATTAGAAACATGATGCTCTTGTTACTTGTCCAGTTGCCCCATTGTTTCTCTAATCACTGCATGTGCTTCATTGACCCTGGATGAAATTCCTTGACAGATAGGAAAGATCTGCATATCCTGAACTGACATTATAAAATTCAATATACCACCACCATTACAAAACAAATCTGCATGGGAAAGTCTTAAGAAAGGATGTTATCTTGTCTAAGACTACACTAGCTATTTGCCTCAAGTTTTATGTGTTTGTTGTATACCGTATTGTGTTGTGTTGTCTTGTAATGATAGATTTTTTTGTTTTTATAGTATCTTCAAAATAAAAAATATTAATTAAAATTAATAAAAACATATAAAAAATTAAAATCAAGAACAATTATAAATCTAATTTTTAAATAAGTATTGAGGGATGAATTTACATGGTCATAAAGTTGATGACATGTGCGGTTCCACATTAGTGAAAGCCCACATGACTTGTTTTCCCACATCAAACATGCTATTCTTATCTTCTGCTGATTACTGTAACAGAATCAACATCATTAGAAACGACACTTATTTATTTCACTAGAAACATTGCAGAATACAACCTACACCAGCATCTTTTTATATACATGGTCAGGCATGGCTAAACCTATTCTAACGACATGGGTGGACATTTTTTACTATCATGTCCCTTACAACGATATTCACTGTTGCATCTTGGGGCTTCCATCAATGGATGAAGAGCCAACTTTGCTACACATATGTGGCTCCCATTAACGGACAACAGGCCACATCTACATAACCCTTGGCAATGGAAAAAGGGCCAAATTCGTCATCTCATTAAGCCTCTAGCAATGGGCAACAGGCTACACATTTCTACATATCTTCATTACACTGGCTCTGGCAATGAACAATAGGTCGAATCCCTATATATTCTATCTCACTGGCTTCCAAAAACAAACAAAGAGTCAGCTCAACTTAGTACAATTAGCGTGAGGTCAATAATAGTTGCAACCCTATGATCGAATGGGATGACTACCTTCCAGTGATAAAAATCCATCAAGAAGTGGTCGACAATCCTTTGGTGGTCACCCATGCATGATGGTGTGGTGCCCAACGGGCAACAATAACCAGGACCACCCTCTGACGATGCAGGTACAGCAAGAAGGGCTAATATTTATCAATGGTATCATACTTTGTTGTATCGGAAGTCATGGATGTGCCTGACGTCCCCCTTTCCATAGAGACAACTCCACCTTTCTCTATCACATATTCATTGTTGTGGCGGAGTTTGACTTAGCGAGATTTATCCCTTCGCGACTTGGCGGATT